CATGCAATTAACTGGTTAATTGCACAATTACCTTGAGACCAGCTACACGTATAAAACAGCCATGACACCATAAAAAGCTCCAGCCAGCTATAAAGTTAGCTCTCAAAAATATGTATTAACTTTTAGCTGGTCGCTAGTGAGCTTTAAACTGCACATGTAGTAGAATCTTGCCTGTGGCCAGAAGCCCCATCAGCTGAGGTGCTCTCAGCCACAGGGGTGCACCGTGCCCAGCCAGGGCTTGGAGTCCTGTAACTGAGGGGACAACCCCAGCAGCACAGGGACTAAGAGGCCCACAGCTCTGGGCACCAGGATTCAGCTGGTCCAGCAGCCAGGGGTGTGTGAAACCCCCAAGACTGCGGGATCAAAGCAGCCAGAATTCCCCATCCTTGGGGTGTATGAGGGGCTCCCAGATACAGGGTCACCTCATGCACCCCAGGGCAAGGGAATGATGCTGCTGTGATCCCCTAGTCTCAGAGGCTTCACACATCCCTGAGGCTGGGGGATGGCAGCAGCCACAATCCCAGAGCCCTAGGTGTTCATGGGGTGTCCCTACAGCTGACAGACCCTGAACTGAGGGGGGCTCCCAGCCACAGGAGCCTGCTTCTTGGCAGTGCAACACAAGCCAGAGATCTGCTCCCCCTGCACCAGCAATATGACATGATGGGATCTACTGTGCGATCCACACAATTGTGCCTTCTGCCCCCCTTGTGTAGCATGGCATCAGGCATGATTCTGTGGACCACACATTAGATCCCAACCACACCTTCACCTGCACGTGTAGAGGGGCCCTAGGATTGGCTAAGTTTATATGTAAGAATGGACATGGCCTCCACCATTCCTGTAATAACCTGTAAGAAGAGAAATCTAGTTTTCAACATACAACAGGGCTATTAGGATTCTCATAGCATAAATCACATAACTGTAGACAACTGACAGGTAAATCAACAACCTGCCATTTGAGAGAGAAGGGCGGGAAACCTTCATATGGCAGAAAAAGTTCCTCTTTTAGACATACAGATAACCAGTAAAGGTGGATCTAAATCAGCAGTTCTCACCTTTTTTTGTACCAGGACCCATTTGTAAATATTGATGATGACTAATCCCAACCCAGTGCCTCTCATTCCTGACCCACTGCCTGCCAGCTCCAGGCCCCCGGTTTGTGGGGCAGGGGGAAGAGGTAGAGGTATGGAGGGTCCCAAACAGCCCCATGTAGGCTGGAACTCTAATAGCCTGCAAGGCAGAAGCCATGGTTTCCTCATGTTTTTCTCCTTTAAAGGAGAACCCATGTATAAAAGTTTGTTGATCCATTATTAAAATTTGTTTGCAACCCTTTTGT